GTAAGAGTTTTCATGGCCTAAGGAGAGTAATGAATTGTCAAAGGTATTTAATTAAAACATCTACATATTTAAGGTCACCTAAAAGTATTTGTATGTTTGTGTTTATATAAACCTTATTGGTGGTAGTTATGTGGGACGGTGTGTTTGTTAAAAGATCACGGTACGGTCTGAGTATGTAAACAAAAGTCAGTTGGGCTTGAGTTTGAATCTGCTAGGTCCCTCTTCTTTGGAGCGGTGCTGAACATTTGCTTCTTTCCGCTCACAGATGCCCTTCAAACCTTATATATTTATATCTTTACCACATTCTTATTGTGTTGGTACTGCAGAAACAAAAACAGAAGTATAACTCAAGATAAACACTCTAGGCACTGTTTGATTTCAAAGGCTTTAAGTTGCAGAGGGTGATCAAAAGGTCAGCAAACGCATAGAAAAAACAACGTAAAAAAGGAACGTCAACAAGTGACAGCTCTGCAGACCAAACATTTTCCCCCCTCTCGTGATGCGAGTTCCTCCAAGTCAGCTCGCACAAACCAGACTCGCTTTAAGCTCTGCGGCGGAGAGGCAATCGGGGGAGGAAGGATCTAAAGGGTGACGTCTAGAAGTTTTCAAGGTTAAGCGTCAGTTCCAGTCTTTAACCCATCTTCCTTCATGGACAGAAAAAACTAACACTTGGGTCTCAACCCATTATCTTCTGGGGAATATCTATAGAGGCCTTGATGAAGATGCAGTTGTCTCGGATGTAGTTCCTCTTCTTGATTTCCTCGTGCGAGATGAACTTGGGATAGCCGAAGCCCAGGGTGCTCTCGTCCAGCGAGTTGCGGCTGCTGCAGGGCTTCTGGAAATTCTTCCAGTTGGGGTCCGGGTTGAAGGTCTCTGTGATGTGCTGGGGTTTGGAGAGGGACGGGTCGCTCTGGTCCAGGATGGAGAACGTCACCTTATAAGAGAAGGGCCACTCCAGCAGGTTGTCGTACTCTCCCGGCAGGACGCGGATGTAGACGGAGAGGTGGGAGCCCTCGCCGCTGCCGTTGCCGTTCAGGAAGGCCGACACCTGAAGCTTGTAGCCGTAGCGGTGCGTGTAGAATGGCGGGCTGAAGAACTCGTGGTTGCTCCGCAGTTTGGCCTCTTGGAGTTTGCGGGAGTAGTCACTGAGTTTCCAAATGAGGACGCCATCTTGGCTGACCGACAGCTCCTCCATCTCTCGTCGCAGCTCCAGGATTTCTTGCCGTTGGCGACCGACCAAGTTACACATCAGGGTGAGGTGTGACTTGGTGGTCTCTTCCAAGTGACGGCTAATAGCCAGCTTAGGGCACTGCAGGGAGAAAACAAATCACTTCTGTTCAAGAGTTCATAAAATACAGTTAATTCTATACTGAATATATTTGATTATTTTTCATGAGTCTTTGTTAAGTAAAAAAAACATTTTGTTCATCTGACTCAATCAAATAATGTGTCAAGGTTGATTTGAAACGTGATAGGTTCATGGGTCAAGATAATTAATTTCCTTGTAACTTTATCCAGAAGTTTATTTTTATTAAGAGAGCAGTATTATGTATTTTGTAGTCACATGGTGCCATTTTACAGCACAACCAAGTAATTATGTTAACTTCAGTTATTATAAAAATGTCATGTGTATCAAATACAACTTAAAAGACAATTGACTTTGTAATTTAACGGCTTGAAATTGAGCCTCTGTCTCTTTAAAAATTCTTTGTATTTTCAAACTGCAGTCAACTTTGGAAAATGGGGAACAGCAAATCTAAATCAACAGAAGACGTACACTATCAGGTTATTAGCTTACATTTTGAAAAGTTGTAAGTCTACATCCCAACATTATTAGAACTCTTGGTTGCCTTCATGATTTATAAAATCGCATTTATTCATATCAGAACGTTCATGAACCAGTTTGTTTAAAAACCAATTTGCATCTGATATTTCTTTATATTTACCATATAGTCTCTATTTTACCGTTATTATTATTGTCTCCATTTTACTGTTATTATTATTGCTTTTATGTTTCTGTTTGCTTATATTTGAGGCTTTCTCGACTCTCAGAGACTAAAAAAAGTGGAAAATTGACACCACAGTGTTTGATTTCCAGACTTCCAGACCACATTTCCAGACTTTGGTAGCTTTAAAAAAGACACAGATAGATGCGTCAGTCTGTTTGTGTCTGTCCTCTTATTAGACAACAATCTGGATCTTTGGACCTGGTAACCAAGGTCACAAAGTAAAGATTATGTATTTTTTTAAAAAGCTTCCTGGCTAATGATTAACACAACAATGGGCATGTTAAAAGAAAATTCCTACAGAGTCAGGAGAATTTTAATGAGAACGGATGCAGGTTAGTCTTACCCTGTGTTTGCAGCCGGCGTCTTTGAAAGGACAGAGGACGAGTGCGTTGCCGCAGTTGTCCTTGACGTGGTTGGCCAGGTCCTCCCGGGCGATGTTGGGAGTGCCGCATTGGTTTGGACACTGGACAGGAAAGCGAGGGCAGTGATACTGGTGGTTCTGCATTCAAGAGAATGGAAACAGAAACATTATTTTCGTTTGAATGAATGAAAAAGAGACAATATGCTTTCCATTCATTTCAGGTATCTTTGGGATGAATACATATCGTTTTGTTCACTTTTGACGAGATGACAAACAAAGGTTCAGACCCACTAGGTTTGCTGCAAAGTCAGTGAATCAATATAATCATCTGGGTTTCCATAAACCAGTGGTTCCCAAACTTTTTCTTCTGCGCCCCCCCAGTGGTTTCCAAATATTTTCTGCGACCCCCCCTATGGATTACAAATGGCTGTCTGGTTGAAGACGCGTGTGACGGGGGGGACGACTTTTTTGGGGGCAAAATGAATGTACGTAGCTGAAAATAGACACCAACATCGGTAGCCTACTACAAGGTACTTGTTAAGCTAAAGGTTCTGTATTGATATTAGCTAGTCATCTTTTAGCTAACCAACAGCATCCAACAGCTTTACTCAACTCAGTCGGTTAGTTTGGAGGGAAAAACTGTGAAAAGTTCTTTGCGTTTGCTGGTTTGCTGCCGTGATTCTAACACAAACCTACGTAGCTCCGCACAGCAGCAGCAGGTCTCCTTCACAGGTGTAAACCCAGCGCGAGCGACGCAGCGCTCATGTTGCGTTTAAAGGCGGCTCGGAAAAACAGGTTACAACATGTTAACAACGGACTAAACTGTTTTAACTGCTGATAAAAGTGACAGAGGACACAAATATGGGAAGTGTGGAAGCATCTACTGTATCAAATTGACATAGGAATAACAGAGTTGGCCATTCTAAGGTAAAAACCCAGTTCATGTTTTGTTTTTTGTTTTTCATCCAGACGGCTTCCCGCGGCCCCCCTGCAATGACACAGCGCCCCCCCCCCTAGGGGGCGCGCCCCACAGTTTGGGAACCTCTGCCATAAACTACTGAAATCGCTGTAGACAAAGTTTTAAAGAACTGAAAAGAAATTCAAAAAGATATTTAAAAGTCGCATCGTTTGCCAACAACAGAAGAATTGCACGCAACTTAATGTTTGGTGTTTCTTGCTCAGAGGAGAAAGTGTTTCAACAGCTTGAAAGCTTCTCGGTGTTCACAAGTTAGTGAAAATCCATGAAAATACAGGAAATCAGCTGTTCAGCATTGCGACCCACGTTTGGTTACTTCAGCACATCTTGACCCAGCATGTGAGAGGAGGGGAAAATCACAGCTCTGCCTTTGTCAGAGAAGTGCTGAGGGGAAGAGACCTCAACTTAAAAGCATTAATGGCAGCGGCTCACACCGCATCCAGCTGGAGAAGGACACAGACACCCTGAATGGAAACATACTGCTGCTCCTGCTGCACTTCTTCTTTGTCCTGCGCTGCTCAGGCCTCAAACAGAAAGCAGCTGCAGGAATACTTAAATGAAAATAAATGCGTCTCTGACCGTTGTGTCAAATATAGGTTGGATCTGTTTTCTTACAATTACCAATTTCTTTTTTTTTTTGGCTCAAGTGAAACTCACCTGGATTGTGTCGAAGACGAACTCTTTGCCGCAGTACTTGCAGGGCTGCGTGCGTTTGGGACACTCGGCCATGCTGTGCTGGGACAGCAGGCGACGCATCATCCTCGCTCCGCATTTGTTCTCACAGTAAACGCTCTCCTGAGGACACACGCCCTGGTGGTTCTGACCAAAACAAGCAAACAAACAAAACAGAAACAAATGTGAGTAGAGAAATTAGTGATAATTAAAACAACAACAAAAAAAAAACCCAAATCCAAACTTTGATTGTCGGCGCATCCTTAAAAAGTTTTAAATTCATGTATCTATAACGAAGATCTTAAAATATCTTAAATACATTACAATAATGTGCATTGGTCTTAAATATGTTAATCACAGGTCTTGCATTGTGTCGTGACAGAACCATTTAATCTCATATATTCTTGTATATGTAGGTATTTTTCCATCAGGCAAAAGTTTTGAGTTGAGCGTAGACCTCTTCGCCTTCTGTGTCAGGTGAGGCTACCAGTAACAGATAGCTAGCTAGTCTGCTCTTAGGTACCAGTTAGCTAGCTAGTAGCTGGCCAATAACCAGTAAACTGGCTAGCGGGTTGCCATAAGGAGAGCTAGCTATGTAGAACTTTATGTCTATCATGAGTGACAGGCTTGACAAGTGATTGAGAAAGGAAAAAGTCATCGCAACTTGCTGTGAAACTCAACTCAGTGGAGACGATATGGAAGACAGCAATAAAAGTTTTAACATTTTTCAACTTTGTTGTGTCTCGTCGCTAGCTCTTGTGTGCTCAGGGTTAGCCTTTCTGTAAGGGTTCCAACAGGTCTCAGTTCTTTATGCTTATTTTAAAATGTAACAAAATAATAATAGTAATGGAAGACATTTACACTTAGAAGATGAAACCCACAAAACCGGACACAAGAAGGAAGAAGGGAAGAAAGGAAAGGATAAAAGACTGAAACACAAAAGGAAAGAAGGCAGGACGTCAGAAGCAAAGAAAAGAAAGAGGGTAGATAGACCAGAAAGGTAGTAACCTTCATATAACATTTCTAGCAGTTTTTTTAGTTGTTTATTTGAAAGTGAAAGGTAGTGGTTCTGGAAATGTGTACATAGGGAGAGAGAGTAAACAGAGGAGAGTCAGAACCAACAGAGGTGTTAGTGAGGAGTGTAAGGCCCCTCCATTCAGTTGCTGATGAAAATAAAAGTTGTTTCCTCTTCCATCATTCGTGCTACCAGAAAATATTTTCCTAATACGGTGACGTCCGTGCGTCACCGTATTAGCGGCCCAAGTTCTTCCAGCTGTTTTTAACAGGTACTTCTTTCATTTGACACCATGAGTCATCTCTCTCCAGGTGTTTCTTTTTCCATCAAACTCACACAACCACGACGAAAAACAAACAAACAAAAAAGCAGTGTTTACCTCATAGGCCTCGCCGGTGAACTCGCTGCCGCAAAACTCGCACTTGACCTTGCGCTTGGGGCAGTCGTGCTGCAGGTGGTCTGGCAGGTCGCGGCGCGTCAGCTTGACGGAGCAGCGGTTGGGGCATGGGATCACGTTGAAGGCGCAGGTGGAGAAGTGGCCCTGAGGGGGGAGGAGAAGCAGCCACAGGTTCAGCGGACTTGCCCCATTTGTCATTCACTTGCCCGAAACGGACGAGTGAATGACGGAGAGAGAGAGAGAGAGAAAGAGAGAGAGAGAGAGAGAGAGAGAGAGAGAGAAGCATGAGCTTCTTCTCACCTGCAGCTGCTTCATCTGTCCGGTCCAGCGGCAGCCCTCCTCGCTGTGGATGCAGCGGATGGGCAGCGCCAGGATCTGCTGCTCCAGCTCCGGGTCCGGGTAGATCTGAGGGCGACAACATGGCATGAAGTCAGGGCGGACAGATGCAGATACCTGCTGCTGTACAATAGCAACGGTAGCGTTTTGGGGAATGTCATCTGTATCTGGTGTGTCCTGGAAGACTCCGCCAACCTGGCTGAATGTGACATTAGCATGAAAAACGTGTGTTGATAACACTTAGGATTTATTTGCCAATTATATGAGTGAAGAGACCAAATAGTTAAGGCGGACCATTTGAGTCTCAGTGAGGTGAGACTCAAAAAGATGGAAACTTCAAATTGGAAGCTGAATGTTCAACAATATGTCTGCATATCATACAGGCTGCAAGGGAGCAAGAGAGAGCAAGACTTCAAGAACTAAAAAAAAAAAAAAAAGGCTGAACAGAGAGCAACTAAGGTGCTCTGGTTATCAGTCTGTCATGGAACATTCTAGATCTGGAAATGTTGGCCACCTTTTAAAAAACCTCAGAAAAATCTCTTTAGATTATGCTAACTACTATAGCTGTGCTAATCCCAAACAAGGGGTGCTAGGGAATTGCTTAGCTTTTGTTTGAAAATGTCATAACGCTTAAAAAAAAAAAAAAGTCTGCACATTTTCAAGGAATGACCATAAAGACTGCTCTTTTTGTAATGCTAGACACACTGTTTTTTCACCAATGTATAATAATCCAATTTCACAAATGTCTTTGTAATTTTTTGCAATCAAAATCCGATTTTGTGGTGCTACTTTAGAAAAATTTGAAAGAAATTCTGCACTTATGTCTGACAGTAAGTGTGACTTTTTGATCTGTTTATTTTCCATGAGTTTCCACGAAAAACTGGAGGGACTGATAAGTAACTAATGACGATTTGTAGCAGAAAGGCTGGAAAATAATATTTTAAATGTTAAATTCTAAAGATGCACTAATGTGAAAATTTGGGATATCAAGGTTCAATATTAATATTGTCGTTATGCTCAATAATTATATTTACCGATATACATATAGTTTCCTAACCTTTCAACACAATGAATACAAAAAAATAACGGCCACACATTTTACCTAACCGAGCATCAGGGCATAACACCAATTACTTTTTTTTTTTGAAAATGTAAAAAATAAAAATCGTTTGAGAATTAGCTCTCACAGTTATATTAGCAAAATCTAGAAGTTAATTTAGTTTTCTGCTCACATGTGAGCTTATATTTAGATTCTTTTCAGCTCTTAAGCTGTCACATTTTTAGGAAAGTTTACATATTTACCTGATTGATGATAAAGTCACTCTACTTTTGGACTTTGACATGTAATCAGTCTAGTTTAACCAGAAACAGTGGCAGCCTGACAGTGGTAGTTAAGGAGCAAAAAAAAAAAAAAAAAGCTTACTCTTCTAGTACCATTAAACATCCCAAACTGAACTAAAACCACAAGACTGTGGAAAGACGACACCGTTTGCACTAAGCTGCACAGAGAAATGAGGGAATTTCACATCTTTTTTCTTTTCTTTTTTTATTACACTGCAGCAGTGAGTCAGGCCTGCCACTGCAGTGATAATGAAGAAGTTTATGACTTTATGAGACCTCAGAGAGAGAAAAGTAAAGTAAAGAGGCAGTAAAGAGGCAGAGAAATATTTATCCATGGTCACTGAACAATGAGGAAGAGGCTGCATTCTACTAAAATCCCCTGAAATCCTCTCCATCAAGTCGCTGTCCTGAGGCTTTTAAGCCTCCGTCCCCCAACGCCGGGGAAAAAAAAACCCGGTCAAACAAGAAAAGCCACTTCCTAACAAATGTCACAACAGCCCTCTGTAGCCTGGCTGTTGAGTTGTGATTTGTTCAGTCACGTGCACCCACACTGAAACATGAGTACGCGCGGTCCAATCAAAAACAACGCACCTGGAAATGTCTTAAAATAACTCCGCTCACTCAGGTCATGTTCAAGTTCAGACAGATATGTAAGCTTTTCAATCCTGTCCACAAAAGATTTTGCTGCAATAAACTTTTTTGGGGGGGCGGGGAAAAAAAGAACAGTCTCTCATTGTTCCAGTCTTAGAATCTGCTTGGAAGGCTGCAATAATGACGTTTTAATAACTTAGTCCCCGGCTCATCAGGGAGAGGTTAAGCTCTTCGGTTCAAGTTGGGGGTTTATTCTGTCTGCAGCAGCAATTTCAGCCCCTCACCATAAATACAGCAGCAGTGGCAGCAGGACAATCCTTTAATGACTGCACCGCTGTTCTTATGTGGTTGTGTTTGTGCATTTTTATTTTTATTTTTATTTTTGGAAAGGACGGACAGCGTACAGTGAGCGTTACGATAACCCTGACAGAAGACCACCAAGACGGGGGTAATTTGCAGGCGACTGGGAGCCTGGGAGCGCCTTGGTAAATAACAATGTCTGACAGGTGTGCCATGAGCGCCTCCATCCCCCCCCTGGGGAGTTCCTGCTATTAGAGGCGCCTTCATCGCTCCCAGCACCGGGCCCTGCTGATCATGCAGCAGTTCAGGTTCACTGCTGAACGTAAACATCTCTACTTTCGCTTTTTCTTCATGTTGTGTTGTCCAGTCTTTACACAGCTCAGGCTTTCAAGGTGTCGGTTACATAGCTGAGGACATCTAAGCTAGACGTCCCCTTCCCTTAATTCTTCATCCTGAAAACACTAAGTGTGCATTCATGCCAGGCCTGTTTGATTAAAGCGAACTAAAGTCTAGAAAGTCTGGTTTGTTTGGGAAGGACTGTTGCAAACCCAAAAACTGAACTCTGGTCCGTCTACAAACCGAGCTCTCAGGTCGGTCGAAGTGAACTCTGACGTGGTTTGAATGAATATGTGAACGCCAAGCGGACTGGAGACCACTCCAAAAGCGGGACACTGCAGCGCAGTGCATTCTGGGTAAATGCAACCAAACAAACATGGAAGTCTAGTGCTACTGGGGGAAACAGATCATGGTTTTTTACCCAAGGAGAAGTTATTAAATATTTTTCCAAAAACTGCTTGCCACTCAACATACTCGATCAAACAACACATCATCACATTCTGCCCAATAATATCTGCACCAGTTTCACTAATTAACTGTGTCCACTATATAGTACTGAGATTCATGAAAAACAACACAAATATTTAAGATTTATTTACATCTTTTCAGCAGTGTGGTGAGGTATCAAAATGGAGAGCATTTATTTAAGAGATCTGCAGACATTATTATGTTTAATGTTTTTCTTTTTTGTGATTGTGGATGTTGTATGTGTTGCTTAAGTCTTGTAGAATGAATAAGACAAAGTCTAGCATCAGAGAAATATGCCAAAAGCTGTAGCATAAAAAAAGAGAAATGATCCTTCCGTGTCCCTTATCTCTGAAATGTAGTTGCTTTGAAAAGCAGAGATCATACATGAGAGAGTCCTGACTCTGCATACGGTCTTTATACCCCCCCTCCCTCCATGAGCACAATCTGATTACCTTACATTTGGAGGGAAACTGAAATTTATTTCTCAGTCTGCTCAGGGAGTGATTGAGTGCAATGGTTTTAATAAATGTTCTGGTGTAATGAAATAAATTGCAACCTCTAACTTGGGGGTGAAGACGTGTTTTACTGCCTTTATGCACTACAGTAAATCAGAGACACAGACCCTCAGGTTTTTATTTGAACAACGTGAAGTAAAAGTCACAGCGTTTAACCAGCTGCAGTCTGAACCTGTCAAAACCTGATGGCTTCGTACAAGATACATAAAGGAATACCAGATGTTTGCAGCGTTCGCACAAGTTCATGTTTTTACATGCACTAGATTTGTTATAATAACTGCTCGTCTCCTCTGAGATGGTGTATTTGTCCTCGTAGGAGCAGATGATAATTTTCTTGGGGGCGGGGGGAACAAACAAACATCCATTTTAAATGGATTAGCTTTGTCTTGTTTCTAACCCACTTTTGTATTTGTTTCATGTTAGTGATCTAAAACGCTGAATAGATTTGATACCATGCTCACATTAAGTCATACAACAGTAAAATGCAAAGCAGTCCATATTTATTCAGTTAAATGTCCCACTTATATAAACATTTTGATCTGAATAAAGCTGATAGATTAGACATCTGTGGGACTGTTTATTCGTTTGGAGATGAGGTTCTAAAGGGCGGAGGTCAGTATCTTGGGTTGTCATTGTTATGCTTCTTTGAAACTAAAAGCTAGAATTGTGGATCCTATGTCATAAACTTTAACAAATTTACAAAGTGACTGGAAAAACAACTGACAAAGCAATGAACTGGATAGCTAACCTTGTAATTTTATGACTTAAGTGAANGAAANTCTAGCTCGTCTAATCTATGATATTACCGACACGCATACTCAGTGACAGAAATAATAATAGCAGTCATCTGGTGACACAGAAATATAAATTTGTGTGTCATCAGCGTATGGTAAGAGACATTAGAGACATTGACAGTGAGAATGTAGATATTGGATAAAGTGGGCTGAGAATGGAGTCTTGAAGAACTCCACATGTGATCTTTGTTCGCTGAGATTTAGCACCGCTAAATGACACAAAGCTGTCATGTCCTGTTAAGTATGTTCTGAACCAATCTACAATGGGCCGAATACAGAGTCATCGACTGGGGGAGAAAAAAAATAAAATAAATCAATGCTGCCTTTGGGTCACCGCTTATTGTTAGCTTACTCAACTTGTCAATCTGTTATTAAAAAAAAAAACAAAAACAAAAAACAATTCAGCAGTTTGACAATATGTCCAATATAGAACACTGAGAGAGAGAGAGAGACATGATGTGGAAACTGAAGGGGCCTCAGAGTTATGTTAAAAATAAACAAACAAAAAACAATAATTATGCTCTTCGTTTATTCTAATTTTCTGGATAAATGCTTTGAAACCAGCATGTTTTACTCAAGGTTGTATTACTCCAGCGATCCTGTAGCAGTACACGCCTAAACCACAGACGGCTACATCTGTGTTTGTAGAGTATCGAACAGACGGGACGCCTCGCTGTTTCTATCTAATACATGTTGCTGCTTGTTATGAGTGTAAATATTAAAAGTAGGGTTGGACTGCTCCAAGACTTCCAGGGAATATGCACAAATGCATACAAGTTTGTAATGCGTTGTTAGATCAATAACTCAAGAGTTTGTGGTGTGAATTAGTGTCAGGCCGGTGTGTCCGTCGTACCTTGGCATAGTCTAAAGGGAGCTGATCCTCTGGACATTTGAAGACGCCTTCACTGTAAAACAAAACAGAGAAAATGTTGGTTAATGAAAAACATGAAGATAATTATACTATACAGGTATTAAAGAACCACAAAGTGCTGTCAAAATGTCAGAAAGCCTGTATGAGCATCACTGCAGAGCACAAAGTTTCAGTTTTTTCAAGCTCACCCTTACTCTGAAAACTCCTCTGACTCATCAGGCTGCATGACGTACAGGGAGCACACTTTTCCATGCGCCATGAAGCAAACTGACTTTAATAAGCTCTTTTAATCATCCCCCCCTCCTGCAGACGATGTGCTCTGTAGAGCGGCTATGGAGCTGCTGCAGAGGAAGCTAAAAATTACACTTTTGTTCACTTTTATTTTTACTAAACCAGATAAGTTGGTTGAGAACATAATCTCATTTCCATCAATGACCTGGCCAGAAAGCATCAAAGCATCATACAACAGGAAACAGAAGAAGAAAAAACAAATGGAAATAAAACAAAATATTTGAGAAGAATAACTTTATTATTGACCTTTCACATATGTAATGTAATAATTATACATTATTAGTACAAAGTATATGAAAAGAAAAGACGACTGTGAAGCTGTTAAAATAGTGTAAATTTACAACTGAAAATTGTCCTGATAGTTACGACGTGCACTTTGTCTGCTTCTCTGACTCATGGTGTTTTCATACTTGATAGTCTGGTAGACTTGGTTGGATTGGGGAACAAAATTGCAACATTTGTTACATTTTCAGCTGCTGCAGTTCGCTTTCAAACTACACTGCTTCAAATGAACCAAGCCTGTAGGGGCACTGCACCAAGAACCACTGAAGGAAACGACACAAAAAAATCTGAAGACGACACTGAGCAAAACCTTCTTCGCAAAATGTAAACAAAAATGCAGTAGCATCAGATTTTAGTGGTTATAGGACTTCTTTTTTGTCTTGGGCAAAAGACCACAAGCCACTTCTCCCTGTAGTGCTAGACTCTCATGTTTTTGTGGTTGTATTTACCCAGAATGCCCTGCTCTATAGTCCGATTCTTACTTTTGGAGCAGTCTCCTGCCAGCTTGGTATTACCACACCACACACTTCAACTTAACCAAGACGTAGATTTCTAGGCAGCCCAGAGTTTATTTTTGGTCTGCATCAGAGTTCGATTGTGTATTCACGCCTTCGCAATCGACAGGTTTGTCAACAAATCCAACCCAAACCAGAGTTTGATTAGAGCAGACTAAACGGGGTTGATGTGAATGCACCCTAAGCAGCTGTCCTGAACTCATTCTCTTCTTGGAAAGTTTGCTTTAAACGTCTCCATGACTTTGTCCCTGACCTGTCTTCTGTTTTCCTGTCTTTATGAAGCTCATTGTTCACTAATGTTCTGTAACAAACCTCTGAGGCCTGAGATTAACTTATTCACAGATAGACTCCAATCTGCCAACTTCTGAAGGCAATTAGTTGCACTAGATGTTTACCTCTAGGGGTATCAGAGTAAAATGGGACGAATATAAATGCGAAACACAACATTCAAGTTTTCATTTCCCCTATACTTTAGTTGTACTTTGCTTTTCACATAAAATCCCAATAGAATACATTTAAGTTAGTGGTTTTAATGTGAAAAAGTTAAAGCAGTGTGAATACTTTCACAATGTATCACATATGAGCTCCATATGTGATACAATGTATTTTGCACAAATGTGCAAGACACAATGTATCGCATTGTGTCTTGCGACTATGCTTCTGTTATAGCTAAACTAATTAGGGAGCAGCGCTGTTCAGAGAGTGTTTGCCTTTTAGTGCTTTAATTCGGTCATCAGCGTCACCTGACCTTAGGTCCCCGAGGCACAGGAACACGTGATGGGATGGGAGTGTGTGCGCACTGCCATCTCTGTCTACCCAGCTGTGAAACGCGCCTGCTGATGCTGATGGCGATGGGAGGAGGGATGGGAGCAGAGGTCAGGCCCGAGAGCGAGCGAGGGAGGGTTGATGGAAAGAGGGGTGGAGGAGGGAGGTTAATGCATGACGGGACAGCAGTAATTCTTCTCCATTAGGGTTACTGTGTCAGCAGTGAGCCGGAGACCAATTAACAAAACCACAACGGGCCATGAGAGAGGGTCAATCGATTGGAAGCCTGCGAGAGTCCACTCAGCATCTCTTGTGTGAAACCATTTACTGAGCTCATCGTCATCATCGCGGAAAAGTTCGCGACAGCCAGCCAGCCAGCTCCGAATGTCCCGCGACCATAGACCCCGAGAGGAGATGGGAAGTGACAGGGCCTCGGCTTGGGATGGGGGAGATGCAGAGGGACGGCTCCGGGCCCCCTCCATCTAACTCTGAGACACGGAGAGGCAGAAAGGCGAAAAAGAGCCGAGTCACAGAGAGTCAGGATGATTTCCTGTCCTGGCTGCAGAGAAGATTACGTGTCTAGCACCTCTAGCAAACAATTGCACGCAATTCGCTCAGGGGTTGAATTCACATCGACTCGGTGAAACCACAATGACATGTGGTAGAGCTACGGTTTCATTTGTATGTTAGAAATCAGCTAATGGCCACATTTCTTCCTGATCAGTGTTTCGCTTAAGAACCTAAGTCTCAGTTCGATTGAAGTGAATTCTGGCGCGGTTCAAATGCATATGTAAAACCAAAGCGGGCCGGAGCTGGAAGTCGACTCAAGAACGGGGCATTCTGGGTTAATACAATCAAGACAAAACACGTCCTCCTGCGTTAGCAGGAGAAATAGCTTGTGGTCTTTTGTTTAAGACAAAAAGTTTACATTTCATAAGGAGGAAGTTGCGCTCAGTCTCTTCCTGAGAGATTTTGAGTTGTTTCCTTCGGTGCTTCTTTGTGGATAGGAAGAGAGGAACAAGGTTTTGAAAAGTTTTGGTTTATCTGACAGGGTATGATGTGGAAGAGAACTGCAGCAGCTGAAAATGTTACAATTGCTGCAATTTTGGTCCCTAACTGAAACGAGTCTACGGGACTAAGGCTTTTCTTCTCAAGCACTTCCAGAGCCCAACCACTACTGACCCTGGAGTCGACATGGTGTTGGATCACTGTGTCCCTATGAGTGTTTCATGCAGTAAATACGATGAGGAATGCAGCGCTGCACTGTTCATCTTGTTTTATCTCAGTATCCCTGCAAACAAATATCTTACATCTTTTAAAATTTCCCAATCCCAATCAGCTGATCTCTGATATGATCAGTACCAGCAGTGCTAGAAACGCAACAGATAGCACAGCATTAACACCTTGCATTATTAACACTGTCTAATATTAAAACACAGGAAAACTGAGTCTGAAATTATGTTTATGGATTCAGCTGAAAACTTCCCCTGTCAGAGCAACTCTATGCAGCACTCAATGGTGGGTGATTAAAACAATAAGTAGCTGGATGAAAGGAGACAGAAAGTTTCCGTTAGTCTGATGCAAATCAGACCTTTTTTTAATGATGAAGATTGGTGGTTTTACAGTTTTGCCTTGTATTAAGAAGAATAAAAACTAAAGTAACATTTTGGGTGGTTGAAAGAGGTTATTATTTGATGATGGGGACCCAGAGCCAGATTTTGCCTCAGTGTAAACACAAAGAAGTGGTGTAAGCAAACACAGGCAACAGTTGAGCTTCAGAACCGGTTTGATGAAAAAAAAAATAAAATAAACAAACAAATTTATATGTTTGTGAGTGAGGTGTTCACCAGTGAAGCCAGAAAAAGCATGAATGGTGAAACAGGATGTTATAGGATGTAAATTAAACAGTACTGTCAGCAACTTGTTCAATGTTTGCAACTCATTCAGGCTGCAAGTGAGTGAGAGAGAGCAGGACTTTCAATATAAAACAGGGAAACTAAATGGAGCATAATAAATTTCCCCTTTTTTTGTCTGAGTTTTAAACCAGTCTGTCAGGAACCATGCAGGATTTAGAAATATCTCTACCAAAAATAAGAGTCATGAAGGCTTCAATGGTATGAGATTGCCTCTAAAAACAATAAATTATCTAAACCAAGTTAGGCTGATATGTTCACAGCTGCCGATTACTGCCTAGTCAATGAGCATCCGGGGACAAATTCATCAGCAATGCTTCTTGTGAGGATGAGATGTCACAGGGGAGCAGCTCTGACTGGACACCGTACTGTATAATACAATCATCTCATTAAAATTTAACCACCTCCCTCCGTCTGCTCCCGTTCACATCATATCTGCCCCCTCTCCCCTGTATAATTGCCCTTTCTCTCTCCCTACTCATCCCCAAATCTTCTTAGGCAGCGTCCGTTCATCCAGCTCACACCACCAACACAGCCGTCACAACATCCTTTGGTCCCTCTGTGCAGCGCTCCTGACAGGCAGACAGCGAGAGGTACAAATCCCTCCAGATTAATTTCACCGGTGCAGAGCGAATCGTGGGGAAGGAGGAAGGGGGGTTTTGTTTTTCCAGGTGACAGCAACCAGCCCCAAACACACACACGGCGGACGCGTTGGCGACAGTCAGGGACCCATGAGTAACCTTGAAGTGCGGTCTATCGATTAACAGAACAGAGAGACTCCTAAAAAAAAAAAAACATGTTTACCAGAGAGGTAGGATTGACCGACGAGATGCCCTGAACAAACCCAACCAAACGCTTTAGGGAGCGCATGAAGGCTGCAGCACTCTGACTGGCCAAACTTACCGCTTCCATTGACTCGGGAGGCGTCGGGAGCCTCGTCCAAACCACCAGTTTACCTCTACCGGCTTTCATCTTCATGCTTATGCCAAACCTTCTTGCCTTTAAGCTACAACTGGGATTAACGTTAATTTTCTCAAACAGAAGCTGCCTGCAGGCTGAAACCAAACCCTTTGCTCAGGAAGTTTGGAGAGAAGCAAGACTACTGGCTTCATCTCACACAGGTTACTGTAATCCCTCAAACTCTGTGTGAAAAGTCCGGATTTCCTTTTTGTCTGATCCTCCCGTTTATAACGATGACGATGGCTGTTTTCCTTGAAACAGGCAGGAGAGAGAGATGTCTGACAACGGAGTTCAAATTGATACGTAAA